CCCAGACCCCATTGGAGACCCCAACGTCCACTGGAGACCCCAGACCCCACTGGAGACCCCAGACCCCATTGGAGACCCCAGACCCCACTGGAGACCCCAAAACCCACTGGAGACCCCAAAACCCATTGGAGACCCCAACTCTTGACCACCCAACGCTCCATGGAGATCCCACCACGAGCACCCAACGTCCACTGGTGACCCCAGACCCCACTGGAGACCCCAACTCTTGACCACCCAACGCTCCATGGAGATCCCACCACGAGCACCCAACGTCCACTGGTGACCCCAGACCCCACTGGAGACCCCAACTCTTGACCACCCAACGCTCCATGGAGATCCCACCACGAGCACCCAACGTCCACTGGTGACCCCAGACCCCACTGGAGACCCCAACTCTTGACCACCCAACTCTCCACCAAGCCCCACCTCCATCACCACCCCCTGGAGACCCCATTTCTCCACCCCCGACCCCCATTGAGACCCCTCCCCACCCCACCCCGGGCGTTACCGGCCTCCAGACGCCCCCAGTTGATGCTCTTGAAGAAGGGGTGGGCCTTGAGCTGGGCGCAGTCGTTGTCCCGGAAGCCCAGGCGGGTCTGGGGGTCCTTGGCCAGGAGCCCCTCGCAGGCCTCGCGCGCGGCGGCGCTGAACTTCTCCGAGTAGGTCACGGGGTCGTTCAGGATGCGCCGCGTCACCTCCTTGTTCTCCACCTGCGGCAAAAAACGGGGGGTGGTCCTTGGGGGTCCCCTTTATTGGAGGTTCTGGGGGTGTCCTGGAGGACCTGGGGGGTTTCTTGGAGGTTCTTGGGGGTTTCTGAAGCTCCTGGAGGTTCTTGGGAGGTTTTGAGGGACCTGGGGGGGTTTCTTGGAGGTTCTTGGGGGTTTCTGAAGCTCCTGGAGGTTCTTGGGAGGTTTTGAGGGACCTGGGGGGGTTCTTGGAGGTTCTTGGGGGGTTTTGAGGGACCTGAGGGGGTTCTTGGAGGTTCTTGGGGGGTTCTGAGGGACCTGGGGGGGTTTCTTGGAGGTTCTTGGGGGGGTTTCTGAAGCTCCTGGAGGTTCTTGGGAGGTTCTGAGGGACCTGGGGGGGTTCTTGGAGGGTTTATTGGAAATTTTGGTGTTTCTGAAGGTCCTGGGGGGTTTCTTGGAGGTTCTTGGCGGTTTCTGAAGCTCCTGGAGGTTCTTGGGAGGTTTTGAGGGACCTGAGGGGGTTCTTGGAGGTTCTTGGGAGGTTTTGAGGGACCTGAGGGGGTTCTTGGAGGTTCTTGGGGGGTT